CAAAATTATCTATGGTTTCCCTTTTTTCAAAATGGGCACCTTTAGCATCATTTTTCTCAAAAACTGCAAGGTTGTGTGCGGAGAACTTTTTCCTAAGGAATCTCTATATATTTTGTATGTTAAATATTAAAAAAGTAGGTAGTACCCCACTTGGTGGAACAAAACCCTATTTTTAGGCCTCTTTTAGGCTACCGACAGCGGCCTAAGACCTTTAAAGCAACATTTTTTTTTTTACCAAGGAATGAGCTGGTGAACATACAATAGTACTCCGAACATAGATGGCAATTCCACCTCCTTTAGACCCTCAGTCAAGCCGAAAAAGGTTATAGTTTTCAATCGTAATCTGCAAGTCATTGACGGCCGGAGTGAGAAATGTTTCTGTAAGGCAAAAAATGTCTGGGTCCAGATTTGCCACTTATAGTTTTAGTTGACTTAATTTAATCACAAGCCCTCTGATGTTGACGTGGAGAACACCAACACTTTTTCTGCCTGAAAAATCTACATAATTACGAGTTTTTACATTTGGGCCAGGGTGAAGCTCAATACCTCCCAGAAATAAGAAAAGTAGAATTAATAATTTGCACAGGTATTTTCTGTGAAAGGATGAAGAGCGGCGAACCTTGGACGAATAGCAGCAGCTCGCAGGCGACACTTCTAAGAGCAGAATGAAGTTTGTAAGGAGTGCTGGTGAAGTAATGGGACAGAGATAGGGTTTAAAAGGATACAATGATGGAGTGTAGAAGTGGCTATAAGCTGTTTCACTAGCAGGTGTAGTGGCAAATGGAGCATCATGTACGGACGAGAAATAACGAGGGTTTCCAGAGGTAGAGTTGAGTGTGGCACTAGATATGACCGGGAGGGATAACAGTAGGATACACAGTAGAACTGCCATCTTTAAAATAACAAAGGCCCACACAGTTAAACACACAAGTGAAAACGTACAGGTAGGCCGAGTGCGAGAAACGTCTTGCCGCACTCGTCGCACTTGTATGGCTTCTCATATTCTTAGGTTTTTTCGGTAATGTCCCGTAGGTAAAAAATTAAAATTAATAAAAGTAAAATTTTAAAAAATCACGTTTCGGAGGCAACACAAGCTTCCATCTTCAGGTGGAACCGTCACAGCACGCTTGCTGTATCAAGTAAATGAGAAATTCCAAGAGATACTACCCCGTATATATGCTGGTTGAGGGGGGGATGAGCCAGTACAGGCCCCCTTTTTATTATTATGGTAAGGTGCGGCTTGAAACTACAGCTAGTATACATAACAAAGGACTGAGCCTTTGTTATGTAGTACCTACGTTATGTACCTACGTGACTTTACCGAAAAAACCTAAGAATATGAATCCTTGCAGTCACGAAAGCTTCAAATCTAGTATGGCTTCTCGCCCGTGTTCTTGAGTTTATGGAACTTGAGCGACCACGTGCAGTTGAACTTCTTGCTGCACACGCCGCAGGCGTAGGGGCAGGTATGAGGGCTGGGTTAAGCTGCCGACCTCCAGCGAGGTCAAAGAGAACATCTCACGCTCGTGAAACCCCAGGGAGAAGGAGCGGTCTCGGTAGCTGGGGTGAGATCACTATCACAGCCGTCGCCACCGGCTGATGCCGAACAGCTACTTGAACTTAGGAAGGCAGAACTCAGGGATGCTCAGATCCAGCACCTGCTTCGTCTCCTCTCCAGCGAGGTCAGGGAGAACGTCTTACGCTCGTGGAACCCCGGGGAGAAGGAGCAGTCTCGACAACTCATTTGCTCGGCGTTTACGAGGCGTTCCACTCAGAAATGTGAGCAGCTAGATAGACTTGAGTGTGTTCCAGGCCCGCTAAAACGTGTCGTTTTTGGAATCTTTAACGAGGTGAGGTTAAACCTGAAGACTTTTATAATTTTGAGGTAAAAAAAGAGTTCAAGAAAAGTCCGCCGATCGTTGATACTTGTCATGGTTGTGACGTTCTAATGATAGCGTCGTTAAAAAAAAATACGTGGTGAGGTGAAACTTGAAGGGTTTTGTAATTTTATTTACTGATTTAAAATTTTCTTAAAATAAAGTCCGGCGATGATGATGCTGGTGGGGATGACAGTGGTGGCGTTCTAAATTTAGCGACTTTTTTTGTATCATTGTATTGTATTTATCGTAGCGGCCTACCTCGCTTCACGGGGAAAAAAGGTCTTGCCTAGATCACCTGTGGGGTTTGGAGCACCCTGAGGTGGCCGGTCCGCTCTCTCTCGCCCTTGCGTCGCGAAACCCTTTCTTAATCAGGACGGTCATAGAAGGTTGTAGTGCTATACACTACTATAAAATACTACACTACCATATAAACTAAGTACTATATAAACTACTGTGTACTCTCTAAGCTACTCATCTTAGTGAGTGTTTATAAACTAATTTCACAACTCTCTACTAGGCCCCGCCGATCTTTCCCATTAATTTCGCGAAGCCTGCCTCTTGCCTGATTCGCCCACCTCGACGCCTCTTGCTGGCTGGCTAGTTGCTGGCTGGCTAGTTGCTGGCTGGCTAGTTGCTGGCTGGCTAGTTGCTGGCTGGCTAGTTGCTGGCTGGCTAGTTGCTGGCTGGCTAGTTGCTGGCTGGCTAGTTGCTGGCTGGCTAGTTGCTGGCTGGCTAGTTGCTGGCTGGCTAGTTACTGGCTGGCTAGTTGCTGGCTGGCTAGTTGCTGGCTGGCTAGTTGCTGGCTGGCTAGTTGCTGGCTGGCTAGTTGCTGGCTAGTTGAGTGGCCCGTAAGTCGCAAAGCCTGCCTCTTGCCTGAATCACCCGCCTTCTACGCATCTATGTTGCAATACACTACAATACACTACTATAAACTACTACACTACTATATACTACTATATAAACTACTAAGTAGCTATAAACGACTACATTTAATCTAACCTGATTCCTGCAGTACATACACTAGAGAGTGGGGAAGGCGACTAACAATCCACCAAGCAGGTGATATATACCTGACTCAAGTCTTAGTTAAACTGCCATGTTCACAAGCAATGATGTAATGCAGTGACGGGGCGCCCCTAAATCGTTCCCTTTTGATTCTGGCAAATCCCCTTTTTTCAAGCACATTTAAAGCATTTTATTTCTGTATTAAAATCCCTCATATTTTGCTCCCTATTATCAAAAAATAATCGATGTGGTTGTTGCTTATTTAAATTGTGACTCTAGTCGGCTTATATGAATTTAAAGCTATGCCTATGGGGTTGCATAATGCTCCTGCTGATGAAAGGAGTGTTAACTGGACTTCTATTGGAGTCTTGATATCATTTTAGTCACATATCGTATGAACATTTGATCCGATTACAACAGGCATTTTTTAAAAGTTTGAGGGAGTTGAACCTACAATGAAATCAAAATAAATGTTTTCTAATTCAAAAGGAGGTAATTAAGTAATTAGTGGCCTGTGGTAGCAGAACATTTACGGATCCTAACCAGAAATCTATTATTAGCATTAGTGGATTTTATTAGACTTTTCAGACGATATTTGTATGGTAGACCATTCTTAGTATGCACAGACCACGCAGCATTACAGTATGCTCTTCGTTTAGAGCAGTGGTTCTTAACCTGGGTTCGATCGAACCCCAGGGGTTCGGTGAGTCAGTCTCAGGGGTTCGGCAGAGGTTAAGACACACACCCGACTCATATGATTCGTGATGACACGTTCGGCTTGGCCATCATTGGCTGCAAGTGATCACGCTACATCGCTTGGTCTATCTGTGCTGCAGGGAATTTGGTGCGCTCGGTAGTCGACTTGTGACTGTCGTGATGGTACGTCGTGTGATTTCTTTCTTAATATTTTAATCCCTTCATACTATGTCGAGCAAAAAAAGAAAGTGGTCGGACGAATATGTACAATATGGATTCACATGTATAACGGAACGTGATGGGAGTCAGCGTTTTAACTGCATGATTTGCAATGCCAAGTTGAGCAATTCTAGTCTAGCACCGGCAAAACTAAGGGGAACACTTCCTTAAGCTGCATGGAGATGGGGAATACAAGAACACACCGCTCGCTGAATTCAAGGTGAAGAGAGCCACATTCGATGAAAAGGCTACTCTGCCTGTTCTCGGCTTTGTACCCATCAACAAACCGATCCTCACAGCATCGTACGAAGTTGCTTACCTGATCGCAAAGTAGGGCAAACCACACACCATTGGTGAAACACTCATAAATCCAGTTGTGTTGAAGATGGCGAATATCATGCTGGTAAAAGCGGCTGAAGTTAAGTTATCCCAAATTCCTCTTTCAAATGACACCATCAGCGACAGAATAGAGGACATGAGCAAAGACATCTTGGCTCAAGTAGTTGCAGATCTGATTTCAAGCCCGGCAAAATTCAGCCTCCAACTCGACGAGACCACAGACGTTTCCAATCTAAGCCAGCTTGCTGTATTCGAGCGCTATGTGAAAGACGACGTGATAAAAGAAGATGTTTAATTTTGTAAGCTGCTTGCAACAACAACTAAGGCAGCCGATGTGAAGAAACTTGCGGATGACTTCTTCAATGACGACAATCTTTCGTGGGATATGGTTTCTGCAGTTTGTTCGGACAGAGCTCTAGTCATGCTGGGAAGAAAGTCTGGTTTTGGTGCGCTAGTGACGATGCACCACACATCATTGTTACGCATTGTATTCTGCACAGGCATGCGTTGGCAACAAAAACCTTGCCTCCAAAACTGACAAAAGTATTAAAAATTGTAGTGGAATGCGTGAACTATGTGCGAAATAGTGCTCTGAGGCACCGCATCTTTAGTGAGGTGTGTAAAGAAATGGGCTCTGAATTTGAGGTACTTCTGTACCATTCTAACGTTCGGTGGTTATTTCGTGGACAGGTGCTGAATCATGTTTTTGCCATGCGTGTGGAATTAGCCCTGTTTTTGCAAGAGCACCAACATTGTCATGCAGATTGCTTAAAAAATTCTGAGTTCATTCTCATTTTAGCGTACATGGCTGATATCTTCGCAGCTCTCAATCATCTCAATCAGCAGATGGAGGACGGTGGAGTCAACATCATTGAAGCGGAAGAAAACCTGAAGGCTTTTAAAAAAAAGCTACCGTTATGGAAACGACGAACAGAGAACGATAACTTCGCAAACTTTCCCCTGCTGGACGACTATGTAAGTAAGATCGAAGATGTATCTGGAATCGGAGACATTTCTGTACCCGCGGAACTGAAGCAAGCAATTGCCACGCACTTAGATGAGCTTGCAAAGTCTCTTGACGGATACTTCCCTACAAGAGAGTCATATCCAGCATGGGTGAGACAGCAGTTCACGTTTAGTGTTGAGACAGCAGATGTCAATGAAGAATACCTCGACGAAATCATTGAAATTCAGCAGAGCCAGGTTCAACAGCAACTCTTCAGAACAACAACGCTCTCAACTTTTGGTGTCAACAAATGATAACGTACCCTGTTATTGCTAAGAAAGCCCTGGAGATTTTCATACCGTTTGTTACAACATATCTTTGCGAGCAATCCTTTTCGAGGATGCGGCACTTAAAAACGAAGAAAAGGAACAGACTTTGTTGCGAAAATGACATGAGTGGCACTTGCCAAGGTGAAGCCGCACATTTCTGAACTGGTCTCTGAAAGGCAACAGCAGAAGTCACACTGATTTGCAGTAAGTATTCATTATTATGTTTTTGTTTTTGTGTGAAAATCATGTTTTGCTGGTTTTGTTCTTTGAACAGTGATGTTGATGCACGGTTCATTTTGTGCACCAGTAAAACATATACCTATGTTTTGAATTTGAAAAAAATCATATTTTATTTTTCCAATTAAGAAGGGTTCAGTGAATGCGCATATGAAACTGGTGGGGTTCAGTACCTCCAACAAGGTTAAGAACCACTGGTTTAGAGTATGCACTCTCGTAAAATGACTCGTTGGGTAGAGCATTTACAGGAATTTTATGATAGTTCATCGAGCAGGAATACAACGTACCAACGTTGATGCCTTATCTAAACTACCGCATGCAGACACCAACGACCATCTGGCTCCATTTGCATGTTTGACTGGACGAGTACGATCTGCTTCACCTCCGCCATCAACGGTAATGACTATTCAGCAAGGGACGACCTTACCATGTGATTTAGGACTACCATAGATAAATTGGGTTCACTATCAAGAACAAGATGTAGACATAGGAAAATTAAGAGCAAATTTCGACTTATGAGATACGTGGAGTGGCAGGGACTGACAATGTATATCAATCCATTGACAAAAGGTAGACATTGTTCTACCGGAGGTACTGCGTAAATGTGTGTTGTATCATGGACACAACCATATTTATGCAGAGTATCATGGGGTACATCGTACATATGGTCACATAAATAGATATTATTCATGGCCTGGTATGTAGAAAGATGTAGAATGGGCTGCACTGTGTAATAAATGTAGCCAAAAAACCAACCTCCAAAACCCAGACAGGTTCCGTTGAAATCTATTTCAGTATCAAGAGTAAATGAAGTAATCACAACGGACATATTGGGACCCTTACCTAAAACCAAGAACAGAAATCAGTATTTACTCGGAGCAATGAAATATCTTACAAGGTGGCCAGTAGCATAGCCCCTAATATACCAAAAATGCCACGACCATTGTGGACGTATTTCTTAATGGTTATGTTTTAGATCAGGGCCACCCAGAAAAACTGTTAAATGACTAGGGTGCTCATTTTTAATATACATGACTGAAAGCCGTTTGCACACAATAATGGCACACGTAAGATTCATACATCACCATATCATCCCAAACGGTTGGTATGGTTAAGAAATTTAATCAGACTCCATCGACTATGTTTTCTCACATGGTGAATTATAAACATAAGGACTAGGATGAGCATGTTGCCCGAGTACTGTTTGCTTATTGAACAACTCTACATATGGCATACATGCATGCACACACAAACACAAAATAAAAAGATCATCCAATAAGTCACCTCCACCTTTAAGTGTTGATACTGTCGAGCACACATTAGAACTGGCACCACAATGATAGTGTTCTGCACTATACTAATACTCAAAGTACACTAATACCGAAGTCTACACATTACAATCTCACTCAGAGCATAGTCACGCAATATTGAGAAAGCACAAACATTACACAATCTCAATTACACACACATACAATAGTTTAGGTTATTTTGATTTGTTGCATGGATGATCCCGTTTAGAAAGTTGCCCAGCTATTTAAAAATTGAAACTGAACTATTTTATTTCACCAGGTAAGGCCCACTGAGCTGTACAGCTCTTTTTGAGAAGTGACCTGGCCACAAATGATAACTCAACGAAGTGGCTTATCATCACGTGGAAATCTATAGCAGCCAAATACTCTAATCGTGTGATGTCGATTCTAAACGGAGGGAAACCTGGAGGATCCGGAGAAAAACGACCACGGAGAGAGACACAACGCACACTATTTTACAAGGGAGATCCATGGTGCATGAGCACAGCAACAAAAGCGTCAACATTGCAGAGACCGAGCGCGGGATCCTTAAGAAATATCGCACGATGATATGCATACACATCACAAACTCTTTAACCAAACGCTCACTTACAATAAGAGCAGAAAATTGGCGATGTCACCACAAAAAATACACACATTTGTAATGTGCACGGATTCTTTGCTATTATTCAAAGGCGCAGGAAACCACAAACAGAAAGGCAGGCCAGCCAGCCAATTGCTAAAGCTCTGCGATCCTCTCACAGACAATTAATGTTGATGCATGGGATAGGAATCCGGAGCACACGGAGAAATCCCACACACACGCGAGGGGGCTACATTACAATTCCATACAGATGCAACAAAGTCCACACTTTCCTGCACAGCCTTCTCCAGGAAATCCTGTTGAGAGTTTCACATCTATGTTTTATATTTGTAGTAGCTTTACTACCCGGCTTCGCCCGGGACTTGGATTATTGTCTTGGATTAATACACGGCCTACGCGGAGGGTGGGGGAGGGGGTGCATGACGTCAGCAGGCACACTGTGTAACGCTGGTAACGCTGCCGCATGCGGGTGACATCACAGATGTGACGTCCCCGCTCACTTGCCGTGCAAAACATACCCAAAATACAAGCCTATTTTATACTTTTTGCATTGTGTACAGTCTGGAAGCTACCCACATGCCAAATTTAAAGTTTGTTACATTTTGGGAATTATGCTAAACATTTCAAACACACATTCACAAATTTCCCTTTACTATATATAGATGATCCACCAACCCTCACCTCCAGAAGAGCTGAACAACAGGTGCGATTAACAGCACAGTGCTTGTGCCAGGCAAGGTGCACAGTGAGGGCCACGTGAAGTGACGAAGGCTCGAGGGCAGGGCACGGGACAGACCCCAGGTGCCATGGGGTTGACCGAGACGACTGGCAGATGTGTAGTGAGTTCGATGAGACGTAGACGACGTAGTCGGAGGCACACTTATTTATTATACTTTACACTCAACACAGGCCAATGTATACAACACTTGAAGGGGTAACAGCCCCTTCACCTGTCTAACAGGGAGACCCCACTAACACTAGCCTGTCTAGCCTGCTCCCAGGTCCTCCACTCGAGATCTAGGGGAGGCTAGCTGATCCAGCTCTGGCCAAGCTAGGATCACCAACCAGACCGGCTCTTACAAGAGCATTGGCTCTGGGCTCTCGGGGCCACACCACTGGCTTGCCCTGGTCGGTCCTTAGAAGGACAGCGAGCCAGGGGAGTCCCAGGGCCTATGTAGCCGGTCTTCACTCTTCACTGGTTAAGCTGAATACTGAACCCCGAGCCCACCGGCTCACCGCCTTATATAGCAACTCCCCCCCGAGGGGTAGGGCCGTGGTGGATCACAGCGCCGTTACAGCCCCCCAGGGCTAACCGATGCGGACGTGGATGTAAGCACCCTTCCGCGTGCGGACGTAACCACCCCTTGTGTGTTTGTTTGCCCTCCCGTAACACCCCTACAGATGCATCACCTGTGCTCCCCACTCTGCCAACTTTGACCGGTGTTCTGCTCGTTGTTAGTTTCGTTTGATTATTCCGCCTATAATGGGCAATTGTCCGGTGGCAAACAATGCACTTAACAAAAATGTAATCCTGAACAAATGTAATATCAATCTTAATTTGAAGTTTTGTAAATGTAATATCATAAGGAGCGACACGCATACTGCATATTCAATAAACCACCTCTCTGTCCTGGGCCTCCTCTAGGTCGACTCAATCTAAAATGAGTACCTGGTGTGGTGTTTAAAACATTGCCACTGGGGAGACAAAGGCAGTCAGGCGTGGTGCTGGCCACCCCACCCCCTCGTGTACCGTGCCGGCCTACATAGGTGCTGCTCGCTAACAGCACTTACTCCAAGTCTTGTTGTGTGCTGCGCTTTGAAGGACCACTTGCCAAATATGCCACCGGTATTTTGAATTGTTCAATGCGAAAAAGTGATCACAAGTAAAACTCACTCCCCGACAGACCTGGTCTTCACCTGAGGATGGGTGCTTGCGTTGTGGCCGAAACGTCGTGAGAATAATTTAATGTTTTATTTTTATTATTTATTTCCCTTCTACGTAACTTTACCGAAAGAACCAAGAAGATATGATTCAAAATTAACATGTATTTATACTAAAGTAATACATAAATAACAAAAGATTTAGAAGTGAGTAGCTTTTCGAGATTTACGATAATACAGGGTGTTTAAAAAAGATGGACCCAATTTCAAAGCAGTATATTTCACGATGGCAACATGTTACAATAACACAAAAAGTTGCAAACCAAACGGCTCAATGAGTTATAAAGTTTTACTAACCATTTTATAAATGCTCTATGTGCCCTCCACCTGCTGTACGGACAACATCGAGACAATAGTTGAATTCGTCCCAAACGCCTCTCTTCTCACGTTTTCCTCTGAGGTGCGTGGTCACCCTGTGCTCTTCCCCTTACATAAACAGCCTGTTTCCTCAAATTGTCGGTACCAACGACGAATGCTCTTTGACATTGGCGGATCAATGCCAAAACACCGTTGAAACGCACGCTGCACCGCAATTACGGATTCAGTCTTGCTGAACTGCAGAACACAAAACGCCTTGTGTTGCGGGGTCACCATCTTGCGAATGACTGAGGCTAGGGGCTATTTGTGCGCTGGGAGAGGCATCAAGGGGTAATTATTTTAAACTATATGCCCTGCCCTTTCAAGTGGTAGTTTCATTCATGGGCGGTTCATGGTTGCAGAGATATCGCGATTTCAAATCGGGCCCATCTTTTGAAACACCCTGTACTGTAAATCACTTTCACGAATCAGCCCCCAAATGTAGTCTCCCATCATGTTCTCGTTCTACTGTCCTTGGTAGCGGTGTTCAAAGTCCAGTATATCCAGGTGGAAGTGCTCACCTTGCTGCTCCGAGTACACTCCCATGTTCTCCTTAAATTTATCAAGATGAGCATCAAGGATATGGACTTTGAGGGGCATCATACAGCCCATTATGCTGTAGTTCTTCACCAGAGTCTCAACCAGCTCTGCATAGTTTTCGACCTTATGACTGCCCAGGAAGCCACGAACCACTGCAACAAAACTGTTACAACACTTTCTCCTTACTAGTGAGCTTCTTGGGGAATTCATTGCACTCCAGGATCTTCATCTATGGTCCGACAAAGACACCGGCTTTGACCTTGGCCTCAGACAGCTTAGGGAAGAAGTCTTGAAGGAACTTGAAGACTGCCGACTCCTTATCTACAGCTCTGACAAATTGTTTCATAACGCCCAATTTGATGTGTGAGTGGTGGCATCAAGCACCTTCTGGGGGTCCACCAGTGGCTCCCACTTGACGTTGTTCCTCCCCACAAAGAACTCGGTCCGCTGTGGCCAGTCCCGCCTGTGGTAGTGCGCCTTGGTGTCCCTGCTGTCCCAAAGCCAAAGATAGCAGGGAAACTTGGTAAAACCGCCTTTGAGACCCATCAGGAATGCCACCATTTTGAAATCTCTGATGACCTCTCAGCCGTACTCATCCTACTTTAAGGCATCCAGCAAGGTCTTGATGCTGTTGTAATCCTCTTTGAGGTGCACCGAGTGAGCCAGGGGAAGAAATGGGTACTTGTTACCATTATGGAGCAGCACGGCTTTGAGGCTCCTGGATGAGCTGTCAATGAAGAGGCACCACTCATTCTGGTTACAGGCGATTCCGATTGCCTCGAACAGATTGGTCACATTGTGGCAGCAGAGCCCATCTCGACAGGTGAAGAAGCTGCAAAAAGGTTGGTGACGCTTCCTTTAATACAACAAGTTCCATTGCTTGAGCCTAGATGTCAAAAGCTCGGCATTGGACTTACTGAGACCAAGATCTCTGATCAAGTCGTTGAGGTCTTTTTGGTTGGGGTAGTATGGGTTTCTCTCCTCAGCTCCACCTCTTAAATTGTCATCTGGATCTACGTCTTCCTCGCTCTCTGACTTGCTGCTCTCTTCTAAAGACGGCCGCTCTCTCTCCGGAGGAGTGGGTACAGGAAGCTCATGGCAGTGTGACACCGGGGCGATGGATGAAGGAAGGTCCGGATACGTGATGGCAGGTGCATTCTTGCCAGTCCGACGTTTGGAAGGGTCCACCATGCAGAAGTAGCAGTTGCTTGAGTGGTCAGTGGGTTCCCGCCAAATTCTTGGGATAGCGAACTTCATGGCTCTCTTTTCCCCTCTGTACCATCCTACAAAAATACATGTATTTCCCCCATGACTAATGTGTAAGAGATTCTCGCAACATTTTTCAATAACATTGAAAATTGTAAAACATAAAAAAAAGACAATTTAAAAAAATTTAACACATTTTATAACTTTTGATTTAAAGCTTTCGTGACTGCAGGGATTCATATTCTTGGTTCTTTCGGTAGTCAGTTAGAAGGGACACAATAAAAAAATATATTGCTGTGGTTTTCACACCTGATGATGATTGCTTGTGTTGCAATCGAAACGTCGTGATAATTGTATTGTTTTATATTTTTATTATTTCATGGTTTCCCTTCAACGTGACTTTACCGAAAGAACCAAGAATACATTTTATAACGTAAAATTCCTAGCAACAATTGTACATCTTACCTTCCAGAGTTTTTTTGCATTGTTCGCAGGTGAAATGAGGTGCCCAAGGTTTGTCTTGATCCCCGACAGGCATGCCGAAATATGCCTTGTAGGCCTCACACATCCTAGCAGATGCTTCCACAGAGTACTTTCTCGCTCTTGTCTTGATAAATTGGCCGCAGACATAGCAAAATGCGTCTGCCGGATGCTTGCAGCCTCTTGATGCCATCTCAGAAAAATGCAGATATGTATCCACTTAGGCAGCTGGAACTAAACTGAACTGGTGGGCTTAAGACCCCTGCATTTATATTATTTATATTACTGGAAAGTTCTAGAATATTCTAGAAGTTACTCCAAGTATACTCAGCACAGAATCTATCTTGAATGTTCAGGAAAATAGATAAATTTCTAAATATCACTGTCCTGGTCACAAAAGCAAAGTTTGTGGGGAATAATATACATTTTCTGTACTTTCGAGGCATAAGCAATTAGGAAATAACACTACCCAGAAACAAAAAAATGGTTACAGTGTTATCTGCACTGTGAATTCTAATCACGCTCCCAGCCGGGTTCAGGCGCCCCCTGCCCGGGGGAGAATTCAGACAACACCGAGGCTTGGGCCTCCACTCCTCGGTCTCTCTCGATAACGAGAGCGAGGGAAACCCGGACAGCGCCACGACCCGCGGGCTACTGTGGCGCGTGCGAAGGCGTGACAAAAAACCCTGCGGATTAGGTTACAAACAAAAATCAACGTTAAAAGGGGGCTAAGATTCGCGAAAAATTGAAAAATAACGAGCTGTATACCACACGCGCAAGAATCAGTTTCGGTGGAGGCGGATTCGCCTAACAAGGAACGAATCGATTCTCTAAGCGTTGAGGCTGGCATCGCGCATCTGCGGATCGATACCTCTCGGGAAGGTTGTGTTTGAATCAACTCGCGCGACCTCGGGTTTCCCCGCAGGGAATTGCGAAGAAGAACGAATCGATATGGAATCGATTTCCGAGTCGTAGAGTTCATAATTTATTTAGAATCTTTGACTGCAGGAATCCGATGAGCTATGAAGCTCTTTGTCAGCAGATGTCCAGTAGCGGTGGGTCACAAAGTTAAAACCACAACCGACATATATATAAACCATTGGAGTGCAAAGTATAGGGAAGGTAAGCAATAAAAATAATGGGCCGTCCATAAATTACGTCACGCACCTGGGGGGGGGGGGGGGTCAGACATTTGTGACGATGTGTGACTAACAATTTTTTCACACCTGATGATGATGCTTGTGTTGCAGTCGAAACGTCGTGATAATTTTATTGTTTTATATTTTTATTATTGTATTGTTTCCCTTCTACGTGACTTTACCGAAAGAACCAAGAATATGACGAGGGGGGTTTGAGAAATGTGACATCACATCAAAATGCGCAACTATAAATAAATATACACAACACGTTCTACTTAATTAAATCAACTTTTTAATAAATGTTGTCTCCTATACAACATCAGAGTGCAGCGTCACATTAAATACGCACTACAATAACAATAGCTTTAAGCGATTTGAAGCATGTTTTATTTTTTGGGTGAGGGGGGGGTAGAGCTTTGTGACGTCATATTTGAGGGGGGTCTGACTTTTTGTGACGCTGTGTGACGAAGGGGGGGGGGGTCAAAAATCGTCCAAAATCGCGTGACGTCATTTATGAACGGCCCCTAATATGTAGAAATAGCAATTGCTAAAGTATATAATATATTCCTGCCGATTTTTAAACAATAAAGGCAAATTCTAGATTTCAAGCTTTCGGTAAAGTCACGTAGGTAAAAAATAAAATTAAAATTAATAAAAGTTAAATAAAAAAAATCATGACATTTCGGAGGCAACACAAGCTTCTGTCTTCAGGTGGTATCAAGTAAAGAGAAAGGCAAACTCGGGCAACTCAGAAAAAACAACAACAATAGCGGTCCCGGTAGATGTGGACATCGTCTTTATCCAAGGTGCTTTACAGCAATGATAAAATTGTACATAAGACTAGCTGTACTACCCGGCTTCGCCCGGGACTTGTATCTACCACGGCCGGCCGCCTTTGTCTCCCCAGTGGCGATGTTAATACGCTACAGCAGTTACTCGTTTGAGGCAGAGTCGACCTAGGGGAGGTTCAAATAATCGTCACCGGTGGTGGCCGTGAGCGGGAATCGAACTGGGTTCGCCGGGTTGGTAGCGCAGCGTAGCGTTAAGCACTACACCCACCGCTCCTCACACACCACACACGCACAGACACACACACAGACACACACACAGACACACGCAGACACACACAGACAGACACAGACAGACACACACAGACACACAGACAGCACGCTAAGCACTACACTATCGCTCCCCACACACCACACACGCACACACACAGACACACACACAGACACACACACACAGACACAGACAGCACGCTAAGCACTACACTACCGTTCCCCCAACACAACACACGCGCGCGCGTCCATAGGAACACATACACGCGCTTGCTGCAGACACACACGACTTTCAGGGTGCGCACGGCAGTAAACGACTGCAATAATAAAGCGGCAATGCTGCGCGAGGAACGCCTTAGACCTGCAACACATTTGTGTAATGCGAGCATAAACACACAAACACATACAAACACATACATACACACACATACACACAAACACATACACACACATACACACATATACACACACACATACATACACACAAACACATGCACACACGTACATACACACATACATAGAGACACGCAGACATACACATAAAGACATACAAAAAAACCCACATACATACACACACACATACACACAAACACATACATACACATACATACACGCATACATAGAGACACACAGACATACACATAAACACACATACACATGACCCGGCTTCGCCCGGGACTTGGATCCACGATGCCCGGCCGTCTTTGTCTCCCCAGTGACGATGTTCACACACGACAGCAGTTACGCGTTTGAGGCTGAGTGGACCTAGGGGAGGGCCAGGTCCGTTTCAAATAATCGTCAGCGGTGGTGGGCGTGAGTTGGAATCGAACTGGGGTCGCTCAAGCAGCTTAATGACTGTTTGTACAAAGAACATATAAAGAATAGATTATAATAACCAGGCAAGAGTCCACATTATAGACTGCCAGTACACGCACTCAGCTTCATAAGCAGGCTAGAGTGTACATGATAGAGTGGCAGTACGCTCACCGAGCTTAATAAGCAGGCTACAGTGTACATGATAGACTGGCAGTACGCTCACCCAGCTTAATGAGTATTTGTACAGTGAACATTAAAGTAATCGATTGTTGGCGCGTTGGGTTTAAAAGTAATATTAATAGCACACATTGTGGTGGGGGTGTAGTGAAGAGTAGGAAAAACTTTGATGAATTTACCTCAGAGTGGCGTGGTGGGTGTCGAGGCCTAGTAGCGTGCAAAGCCTGCGGCCTCGCCTAAAATTGTCGGCTTGGAAGAGGCAGGGTACGGGTGGCGTGCCTTCCCCCCCCCCCCCCCCCTCAGCGCTCCAACAATACTGTGTAATGGCTATTATTTAATTAAATACGGAGCTTATGAAAGTGGCGAAGGCGTGGCTAGCCGTTGGCAGGGGCAACCGCCGTCCAATGAAACTGCAGCCCTTGGCGAAGGCGTCGCTAGCCGTTGCCAGGTCCAATGAAAGCGGCGAAGGCGTGGCTAGCCGTTGCCAGGGGCAACCGTCGTCCAATGAAAGTGCGTATGGGCCGAAATCCACACACACACACACAGACAGACAGACATTCACGATTTTATATATATAGATGGTGGTTAAAATAACGAGTGGGATTATTATAATTATTAAAAGTGGCGGTGTAATTATGGTGAGAGTTAAGTTAAGTGGACAGGTGACAATGGTTAAGGAGGGGTTGGGGTAGTGGTAGGGGTTGGGGTTGGTGTAGTGATGGGGGCTATGGATAGTGGTAGGGGTAGTGATAGGGTGAGGGGTTGGTGTAGTGATAGAGTTAGGGGTTGGTGTAGTGGTAGGAGTAGTGATAGGGTTAGGGCTTGGTATAGTGGTAAGGATATGGATAGTGGTAGGGGTTGGTGTAGTGATAGGGTTAGGGGTTGGTGTAGTGGTAGGGGTATGGATATTGGTAGGGGTAGGGGTTGGTGTAGTGAAAGGGTTATTTATAGAACAGCGAATGTGGGCCCATGTCCTTCACAAGAGGACCTACCTACTGACCATTGGTTTGTTATCCGTAAGATGCACCTACCATCCTCTCACTGTGGTGGCAATCATCCATCAAGGACCCCACTTGTGTGTGTGGGTTTGCACAATAGCCTGTCTCGTCTAGCTGATGAAGGTTGCAAGCAGAACATTCATCATCACTTGCAACTGGGGTTGACATCGTCCTCCCCTTCTCCTGACGCCAAGGAGACATGGGTGAGTTTCAAGACAGCAACGAATTAAGCTGATATGGCTGCATCGGGTACTCAGTTCAGATCTTCGCAGAAACCCTGGTTAACGGAGGGCGTGTTGCGGCTAGTTGAAAGTAAGCGGCAGGCCCATTCCCACAGTCTACAACATCCCACGTCCAAGAACGAGGAGGCTTACTGCAGCGTTCACTCGGAAGTTCGGATAGCCGTGGGGCGCTGCAATAATGAGTGGTGGTCACAAATTGTTGAGGAAATGGAAACTGCCTCAGTAGCACGGGATAACAAATAACGTTTTAACACCATCAAATAACTAATTTGCAGCACCACATCTATCACCATCCTAACGGAAAAGCACAGTAATCCGATCTCCAACCCCCAAGAACAGGTTCCCAGGTCTGCTGAGCATTTCTGTGCGGTATTGGTGGAGGCGAAACTTCTCAGCCCAAATAACATGATAGGGCAAGGTGGGTTTGGCCCTGCTGGTGCTGCTGTGCCTCAAATATTGAAGGAAGTAGCTGCTCCTTGTGAGTGGATGGCTGATGTGCCAACTGAAGGGGTGATCCGGAGTTTGAAACCAGGTAAAGTGTCGGGGAGAGATGACCTCTCAAACAAACTGCTGAGAGAGTGGCGATTGTGTGCAGACTTCCCTTTATGACATAATCACAAGTAAGGTCTGCCCGTGGTGCCATTCGACGCAAAGCGTACGCGAGCAGGGTAGGAAAATCGTTCAGCCGGGGTCTCGCCGGAGCGGTGGGGACTGGCCTGAGGTAGCTTCCATCTCCACCCCAGTCGTCGCCAGTCCACGCCTGTGAATCCCCGTCCACGTCTCCTTCTCCTGAAATGAAAGCATCCCTTTCCCGCCAAAGCGTGCGGAATCGTCTCCAGCCTTGGAGGCCGGACGGACGGCGACCTGCTCCCACTCACACGAGAGGGAGGCACCCCGTTGTCAGGCCCCCCTCTGACTCACTATCCCTACGCCTCTGACTCACCCTCCTTACGCCTCTGACTCACCCTAACTACCTAAGGACTTGGCTAATAAACCCCCAACCCCCATCAGCCCTGGCATGGGGCACAGTGGACAGCTAGGGGTGGAGGGGTAACCCTGAACCATACCAGTCCCGATTGGAGGATCCCCATGGGGGTACCCCTCTGGCTGCTGTGGAGTGCCAGCCCAGCTCATGATTGCATGCACGGGTTATGCTCAGCACCTCACCACCTCACCACCACCTCACACAGGGTGAGGTGGTGGTGTTCACACTCCCCTGTTGACCAGCATCCCCCTTCACATGAACGTGCTCGCCTGCGTGCCAGCTTTTGTGTGTTTCTATGTGCGAGTAATCTTCGACTTACGAACAGATTCCATTCCCGGGTCCATTCGTAAGTCGGAATACAAGTATGTACTGTATTTAAATGCAT